GACAGCGTTTGTCTGTGTAAGAGCTCGCAGCAAAATTATTTAACTTCAGCAGCAGCATTTTTTTCTATAAACTTTTTCTGCCTGTCAGATTTGTTAAGTGACCTAAATTTGGAAAAGARGGTCAGCAAAGACACCTCAGGGCTTCAACTATTTACTGCTGTCTCCTGTGTTTTTTGGGTACCGCCAGTGATACAGTTTAAATATAATTTACCTGTCAGTTGATGCTGTCAGTGCGTCTATTAAGACAAAAAAACAAAGTGTCTCAGCCAGGCTGTATTATTGAATCTTGAGTCAAAAAAAGAACCGATCCAGAGTTGTAAAATAACTACCGGTAAGTACAAATACTTTGCTGCTGTACACAAGTAGAAATTTTAGTTGTCTGTAATTCACTTGAGCAACTATTTTTCAGCCAACCTTTTACATCTACTCCTTACATTTTCACACAATTATCTGTATTTTCTACTCTTTATATATTTTTTAAAAAGTTATTATTTTCGTTTCTTTTTTTTGTTGTTGTTTTGTTTTTTATTCAGGCTATTTATTGCTAAAAAATACATGTATCTGTATCAAACCGTTCAATACACACGGATTTTTAAAATATATTTTATCAACTTGTCTTCTGAAGATGCTCTGTGTTGAAGGCTCAGAGATCTGTGTTCGACTACTCCACCTAGGCTGCACTGTTGAGCGCAGATCCACTGAGAAACTTGCTGTTTCAGCAGCATTTAATCTAAAAACTGTACTTTTGTGTTTAAACAAATGTTCATAATTAAGTTCAATAAAATGCAAGTTAAGAAGGGCATGGACATTTCTACTTTTTTGTATCGAAAAAATATCGAACAGAACCGAATCATTAATTTTCTGTCGTTGCACCCCTAACATATATGTATTTGAAACAGCTAAACTAGTGCATCCTAATTTTTATTAACATTTTAATATAACGTAATAATCATTATTGCCTTTATAAAAAAACATTTTTGAAGGTGTCACCTCACAATAAATGTCCCTATGAAAAATCTAACTGCTCATTTTTACTCACCCTTTAGCAAAAAGTAGTATCCATTAAGTATACTAATTTTTAACAAAAACAATAAAAGTGTACTTCCAGTTTACTTTTTATGTACTTATCTGAGATATACTTAACCAAGTCTATCTTACACTATACTTGGCTTGTACTAAAAATATACTAAGTTCAAGTATACTACRTCTATATTAATGTTTACACTTTTGTCCAAGGTAAACTTTAGTAGTACACTTTTCACACAGACTGGTTCATGTATATTCCAAGATTAAACTAAAAGTATACTTTGAAGATTAATTTCAGAATACTTCTGAATATACTTTCATTAACTTCTTGTAGGCCAATTTAGCCCTAGAATGTTAGACATGTTAGTAAACTGCTAGTATACGTATATCAGTGTACATGGTAAATAAAAGTACACTTAGGGAAATACACTTTAATACACTTTAGTACACTTAATGACATGTACTTAAAGTATACCTCTTTTTGGTAAGTTCATAAACTTAAGAAGACATTATAACAGTATATTTAAAGTACACTTTTTATAAACAAGACAGTCACAATTTAGTACAAGTATTAAAATCAGTAAACTTTCTAGTTCACTGCAAGTACATGGTGCCTAGTATGCTTGCTATACTTAAACATATACTCAAGTATACTTGTTAAAATGAACTTCAAGTAAAGTACTTTTGCTAATCCTTTTATTTTTAACACTCAAGTACATTTTATGTCAGAAATTTATACTTAAAAAAACTCAGATACTTTAAGACTTTTAATCAAGTAATATTCTTAGAGGAGACTTATTTTATGGTACGATACTTGTACTTTTACTCAAGTATCACTTTGTGGTACTTTATAAAACCCTGATCCGATCAAGAGTAAACAAAAAGAGAATTAAATAAATAAAATTAAAAGCAAAAAGGAGCAGAGCTGTTTTAAATTGGAAAATTAAGTCACAGATTTGTCCTGAATGTTGAATCTAAACCACTCATCCACACCCAGAAATATATAAAAATACATTTTCATTGTATTCCAGTGCTGCAGTCTTCCTTTCAGCGCTTCAGAAAACTCTGAACATTATCACAGAGACGATGACAATGAATATTTCTACACTTCTTTTTCCCCATTTGATTGGCCCATGAGATTGAAAGAGGATATGACTAAGGAGATGAGTCACACGATAAAAAAAAAAAAAAGGAGTGGGACGGTTCTGACAAATGATCTAAGAATGGATGAGACAGAGGAGCTCATTCTGCAGATCAAGATGCTATAGAGACTACACCGATATAATTAACTCCACTGATTCAGCTTCTGTGAGGAGTTGGTCCAAATATATCCACATTATTTTAGTTCGATTATTAAAGTATGCTATTTTTAAGGTTAAAGCTCCAGCTGCTTTCACAGCAAGAAGAGATCTTTGACATAACCCATTTTGCATAAATTTCCCACCAATCAAAACATCTCTGAAGTTACAAAAGTGCTGACTAAAGCCAATTTATGTGATGAATGACCCCTCGTTTAAACCAATGAATCCCTTTGTACCTGTGGCTGGCAGATGTGCTGCGCTCAGAAACTCAAAGGACAAAAAAATCTGCAGCCTCTTGTTATTTTTTTCTTTTTTTTTTCTCTCACCTCATCACCGAGGTCTCTCAAAGACATGGGAACATGTTGTAGGATAATTGTGAGTGCTTGTTTCAGGTTATATTTGGGCTTAACAAAGCAGCCTACGCTTGTTGGGACCGGAAAATGGAGAAAACTGGAAGGAATATGATTTCTATTGCTGCCCCCCATCTCATTACCCAGCTGACGCTGTCACTGCAGACCCAGGATAATGCAATATGCTGAACCCACAGGGCAAGTGTACAGTTTGATTGTGTCTCCTCCAAACCCACATGCCCCGACTGGCTGTGTGTGACTGACAGGAATCTGCTCCGTCTGCATTTCTGTCTCAGCCAAGTCAAATGTGTGAATTAGATGGCAGTTGGGAGACACGGTCAAAGATTGTGCATCCTTTCTTGTAAAAATGCAAGCCCCACTGAGGAAACAGATTTGTTCAATGAATATTATATATATA